TTCATTTAACTGTGATCGAATCCTGTAAAAGAGAAGGTTGAGCTCTGGAAAGAGGTAAAAAATAATTTGTGAGCGTTATCATTCTTGTTATGCAAGTGTGGAAGAACATCAGATAAGACATGTTCCCTGAAAAGCACGGCTCTTCAAATGCCTTCATATTCTAAATATGGCATGTAACATCGTAAAAATCCAGGGAAGGATTTTTACGCTACATGTTCCTTTAGTCCCATATACATCTTTCTGTGTACAGTGTTTGTAACTTTACCAAGACTTGGCCACATTTCATATCATTTTGATGATTCCAGAACCTTGCAATACACACAAATTCTTATATGCTAGATGATCAACCCTTTCTGGTCGATTCCACATCGTTTCTTTCACAATGCAATCGCATCACCAGAACTCAACTTAATCATTAAGAATAATTGCATTTTAATAGTCGGAATGCAAATTGCATTCATAACGTATTGATTAGGGGGCACGCCATAATGATAATGTTTGTCCGATCTAGCAACAACTCATGTATGCAATTTGCATTCTGGCGTGTAGAAAAAATAACACAAATTATATAACAGAAGGAAATTATATAAAAAGTGAAAGGGCAAAGAGGATACATGTATATAGATAAATTAATTTTGACTTGTTTTTTCTCTCCCCATGCTCTTTTCCTCCCTCTCCCCTCACCCCTCTCTCTCTGTAGCTCTCTCTCTCTCTCTCTCTCTCTATATATATATACTTGTTACAAGTTATGTATATATCGTATTTAAAAGAAAGTATTGAGTTCTGCTCGGAGTGAAAAGTCGGAATTTACATTTCTCAGAAGTTTCACAATACCTAGCTTGCGTGCGTATAGGTACAGTTAAAGTTTGTATTCAAATGGCACAACAAAGAAATTAGGATATTATTAAATTTTGAAATGTCTCATTATTTATGCATCCTCGGTAATTTTCATCATCAGATGACCGTGTAATTGTATTTGTATAGTTGGCAGATCGTCTTGTGCAATATGGAATTGTTCTCTCTTTATTATTTTTTAAAATTATTTTACTTTCATTAAAAAATAATGCTCTCAGTTTTGTTTTAAGATTATAATTGCCCTAACGTTTGAGAGAATCTGGCTGACCGCAAAATACAATAAACTCAAAGGCTCACACACACACACACACACACACACGCAGGCACGCACGCATATACAAACACACACACACACACACGCACACACACGCAGGCACGCGCGCATATACAAACACACACACACGCGCGCGCACGCACACACACAAACACTTTATATATATATTTATATATATATATATATACGTATATATATCTTACAAAATGTATCAATTCATATATACATAATTATATATTTCATGTGTGTGTGCGTATGTATGTAAACAAATAGCTGATATTAAGTCCACGTGTTGCCATACGATGACGCAAAAAATGATAAAAAAGAGAACTTTCATTCTTGAATTAAATCTTACAGTGTTTATTAGGTCACGAATTTGTATACATCTTTTTTTTAGTTTAACAGAACGTTAATTTTTCAACGAATGAAATATTCGTACTTTTGAACGAATGAAAATTATTGATTTAATTTATTTTTATGTAACATCTAATGTACGCTGAATAGAACAAAAATGCACGGCGAATATAACCAAAAGTTCACACTCAATGACGTATTCGTTCAACATATTGAATATCATTTGACCAACAATCCTCCAATCAAATGACAAGGATCAATTTAGATGTTACATGATATACTATAACAATCTATCAAACGCTGTCGGGAGTTTTATTTACTCGAGGGGGTTACTCTTTTCTGAAGTGCGCGGTGCTGATGAAAATTATGATCACATGGGAAAATATAACTCCCTTTGGGAAATATAACTCCCTTGCGTCTAAAAATGTATATTAAACCCTCATCGAGTTCATTATAAATGCTATTATATTGGATCGCCTTGATTACACTTTGTTATACAAAATATAGGGTAAATTACACTTTCTTATATAAAATATTGGTTAAATGTCATCCATTACATTAAGACCATTTTGAATCATCGTCGATTGTTACTGCACCAGTAAATTGTTATTTGAATTAATGAATTAATGAAAATATTTTTGATATCAATTTGATAATTTTAATATAAGACAAAGAAGAGAATCATAAAGATAATATTGAACTCTTAACATGTTACGTGCAAATATTTTAATTAATAACTACTTCAATTATATTTACATATAAAAGTAAAGGCATTTTCAATTTAAGTAAAAGCTAGAATGACTGCCTTTGTCCTCTACAAATACATTAATGAGGCATAAATAACCAAAGACTAAATTTATAAAGTATCTAGATATATGTTTAGGCTTTTCCACCAGCGAGTATTATAGCGTGTAAAAAAAATTTGCGCAGGCGGGCCAGAATGTTATGCTCTACGAAAAAGGGTTCGTAAAAACGCGCGGTGTCTCCACCATTGACCTCTAGCGGTAGAGGTCAGTGCTCTCCTCTCATTGCACGATCCCCAAAACATACCGTCGGGGGTACAGAATGAGAGGCAAGAACTACCGGTTCAGCGTTGGGGGTGTGTTATTTTCTCAGCTAAACCATAGAGTGGTGAAGTGTGACGTCATCAAAAATCTATTTTTAGAATTCCTCAAGTCTTTCTTCATTTTGCGAAAAAGCATCAAAAATAATGTCCAATTGTCGAAAACCAATTGAATATGTTAAGTATTGGCTGAGATATGACCATCTGAATAAATATATTCCCCATAGGAACTCAGTGTTATTTGCTCTGGCTCCTAATGGAAAAATTGAGAAATTCTAAAAATAGATTTTTATGATGTCACCGCTTCTGTACTCTATTGTGTAATCATGAAGTGTATCACGGTAAATGGGTACGTGCTACAGTGCCCGCAGGGTTGCCTGGGTGGATACGGTTTGACCCAAATATATACACATTTGACCAAGTGGTCAATATAACATCTAAAATGACCGGGAGTGAAATATGCCAATTACGATATTCGCAATCAATAAAACGTGACGACTCTAAAACTAACTATTTCCATGCAATACCAAATCGAGCTTGAACTTGTATACATCACATACAGCTTTATTACGAGCTAAATTACAGATTTGTTTTTTTAGATAATAATCCACGAAAAATTTACGATTACAGGAAGAAAATATAAATCTCCCTTTTGAGTGACGGTGTACACATAATTCAATATTCGACAAAGGAAAATACAAAAACTTAACACCAAAAAGCTGCCGTATTGTGGGAAATGAATTTCAAATTATGATAAATATGGTGAAAATATGATATTTGGGGGAAGAAATGAATCATTACAGAATTCTTATGTTACAGTATAATAAACTTGATCTACTTTTGATCATTTTATTTATATATAATTATAGTGCCTATTGAATAAGTGATAAATTGTAACTTCTATGATGTAAACAAAAATATCAGAATGTATTAATGACAATTTAAAAGTGTTATATTTATTACATGCATAAGGTGGATATTGTCTTTAAAAAAATAACATCCAACCACCTAGCTAACCGGCTAGAGAGTTGAAACAAAGAACAACTTAATATATCATTTGAAAATGAGAGTGAAGCACGATAGCTTCAAATACAAATTTAGACTGAAAAACGCTTAAAGATATGGTTGAGTTTTGGGGAAAGGTGAAATATAATTGGTGAGCGTTATCATTGTTATTATAAAAGTACGGAAGAACATCAGAGAATTTTTTTTCTCTGAACAGCTTAAAACTGAGGCCCGATTTGTATGCCATATGTTTGTGTAGTCCCATATACATCTTCCTGTGTACAGTGCCTGTTACTTTACCAAGACTGGGCCAAATTTCTGATCATTTTTTTTTATCACTCCAGAACCTAACAGTATGCACCAATACTTACATGGTACATGAACTTTTTCTGATCGATTCCACACCGTTTCTTTCACAATGCAATCGCATGACAAGAACTCAACTTTATCTTATAAATGCAAGGATCAAATGATAACGATAATGATGCCGATAAATTCGAGAGAAAAAAAAGGAATACAAATAAATATAAAACAAAATCTTCAATACAAATTTGATGTTTGTACACTGTCGCTCATAAAGGTGGAATATTTTAGTTTGACCCCAATTTATGGAATTATTTTAAAAATTATTTAAAAATAATAGATCTAGATGATAGTATACATTCTCAGATTTTATTGAATAATAATTTGCCAATGTGTATTTTGCGGGACTGCTAAAGCATGTGTTTGCTACTATGCTCATTAACTAGGGGACCTACGTCCTCAAGTCATAAATGACAGTAATGAGGATTAATGCCCCACAAAAGGGCACTAATATAGCACATCGACACGGTTTTGATCCGGGGGCCTCAAAGTTACGAGGCCATTATTTTGTCACTGAACCATGACTGTACGCAGCGGGGGCTAGGGTAGGGGGCAGTTTCCATAAATTAAAAAAAACAACAGAAAATGCAATAAATTTTCAATAATTTATTACATTTTACCCCGGTCCCCAACATAAACGGCCATGCATTATGGCTCAAGGCATGGGCACACAGAAGATTTTGTTATGTTGGGAACCGGGGTAAAATGCAATAAATTACTGAAAATCTATTGCATTTTCTGTTTTTTTTTAATTTATGGAAACTGCCCCCTACCCTAGCCCCCGCTGCGTACAGTTATGGTTCAGTGACAAAGCAATGGCCTCGTAACTTTTGAGGCCCCCGGATCAAAACCGTGTCGATGTGCTATATTAGTGCCCTTTTGTGGGACATTAATCCTCATTACTGTCATTTAAGACTTAAGGGCATAGGTCCCCTAGTTGAAAATCATAGTAGCATACACATGCTTTAGCAGTCACGCAAAACACCCATTGGCAAATTATTATTCAATAAAATCTGAGAATGTATGCTATTGTCTAGATCTATTATTTTTTTAATTATTTTTAAAGTTATTCCATAAATTGGGATTAAAAAACAAAATTTCACCTTAATGAGCGACAGTGTATCTACAGTACTTTACACGCCTTTCTCTTGTACTCGTTATTCTAGGCTGGTTAAATCAGTGCATTATTTGCCTGAATATTCCTCGCGACCGGAAAATACCAACGGTCTTTTATAAGACGATCTGACAGATGGTGTTTAGATAGAGAGTACATGGTAAATCAAGCCATTTGTATTCTCCAGTCAGTGCTACACACTTTTCATATCCGTAGCCGCTTGGCCGACCTTTTGCCCAATCTAACAGAGGATAAATAATGTATTATAGTATTATGCGTTCTACTCACATACAGGACAATGATGGTGATGATAATGCCGCTAATAATGATAATACACGTAATAGTATACATGAATTTATAAGGCGCAGTTATTCGAAACAATCGATCAAGGTACGACATTGTGGATATGCAATGCAATGTTATGTATTTTTTATGAAAATAGTTATACACTTAATTCATAGGTAAAGACAGTAAACTTTACTTAATATAAACAATATATATTAATATAAAAGATATGCAATGCAATGTTATGTATTTTTTATGAAAATAGTTATACACTTAATTCATAGGTAAAGACAGTAAACTTTACTTAATATAAACAGAGTTGTGCTTTTCAGTTGTGGATCAAAGCAATTCAAAGTTGTGCTTTGAATGGGTGTCGCTCATAGTTTTTGGTTTGTAGAGCAGATGTGTAAGATCTTTAGAATATCCAAAAGTACCATGACTTTACGAAGGCACCCCTCCGTTTCATTTATTGATCTCCAATAAAAACAAATTGGTTTAAATTCAAGTTAAAAATAGCACTTAACAATATATTAAGTTCAGTGGTGTGAATCGTAAGACCAACGTGTACGTTGCATCAGCAAATAAATGTTACGAGGTAGCTAATGAATTGATTGTTTCACAGTATTAACAGCCAATGCAATTTCAAAGGTCGGAAATACATTTGATAGGCGTAATTACGTTTAGCAATACTGTGCTGAATTATCGAGATGAAACTTACCGGTTAAATTAATCTGCACAGCTCCCTTGCCATCCACGTCGCACATGAAGATCCCATTGGTTTCCATGTCATTACAGTTGATCCATGCAGACTTTAGAAATTTATCACCTGTCTCGAGTATTAAGGCGAGCTGGGACGCTTCTTCAGTATCTGCAAATAGGAGGGATGGTTGTCTGTCTCCTGCATTCGTGGTTATCGGTCCAAGGGTCAGGCAGAAGCTGTGAGCGTCATGCCAATTAGTTGGCCACCTTTGATTAACGTGGTAGCATTTCGAGGACGTGCATTCCCATTGTGTCTCTGGAGAACCAATGAACATTGGAAGCATTTTAGTAACCGAGATCAAATGGTATTTTGATGAAATTGATTTCAAGAAAGAGATGTCTTTTAGAATAGTCAATTAAAGTCTGATCTTTTATCTTTTATTGTGGTCACCTCTGTGTATAGACTATTTGTCTAAATGGTCACCCAAATTATTTTCCTTTAAGAAGATAAATGTGCACCACAATCTGTTTAGGAAGGCCACCTGTCTACAGGGGCCATATTTGTGTTTGTCTTGCGATACCTTAGCAGTGGTATGACAGTAATTACATATCATTTATATATCAGCTCCGATAAAATGTAAATGTGAAGTAACGTTACCAGATTAATCGTTATACTTAGATATGAAATCACATTCGACGGAAAGTAAGAAGGCATTTAGATGTTCTAATTCGTATCCAGACAATTACCCCCTGGACATCCACCCCCGGATAACCACACCCAGTCGACTACCCTCTAGGACAACTACCCCTAGGACAACTACCACCTAGGGCAACCACCCTCTAGGACTACTACCCCCAGGACAACTACCCCCAGACAACGCTTTAGGTTGATTTCTCGAAAATAGTTGTTATCGGACATGTTAAAATATTCTTTTTACGAAGGCGTCACCTCGACTCATCATTGAACTGAGTGAAACAGAGACAGATGGCTATTAAAGTATTATCAACTACGTTTTTACTACAATTCTATGAGCATCAAGGAGTATGGACTTGTGGGCTATGCACAGTTATCTTTGAGGTAATATCAAACAAAAATTACACATGACATACCTACAGATACGAGGGTGATGTTGAAAGAACAGTTTGTGTTTACAAGGCCACTGTTGTCGGTCACAGTATAGATGACGCTAATGGGGCTATTCACGGAGACATTAACTCCAGGTTCATAGTTGGCGACGATGAATGCAATTCCAGACGCATCACTGGCTGTTGGTGGTGTCCAAGCGATTGGTGTGGTGGTTTTGATAACTGAGAATGTCTGGTTAAAAGGGCAGGATTGTACCTCTGGAGGGGTGGTATCGACTGTGATATCAAGATATATTAATAAGAATGTAGTGTTGTGTCTTATGGTATGTTATCCAGTCAAACCATCATGGGCTCAGACAAACTGACTCAAAAGTGAATGAGCATTTCATTTGAACCTCTAATCGAACGGTTGAGTTGATGAATCATCAAATTCTTTGTTATTTTGCTTGTTTCGACCCGAACACCTCTCCATCTTTTTCAAATAAAAGTGTTAAAAGAACGTGCTCATTAAGACCAAGTATCTTGCTTTACACAATATCATGAATAAAGTAGGTGAAAATGTCAAAAACGCAAAACATGCTCTCCTTTATACCAGTATTGACGTTGACGTTGAAGGTACAACGAGATGCTTGGTTTCCGCTCTCATCAGCGAAGATGTACTCAACGAGAGTTGACCCGACTGTGAAATCATCACCCGATTTATAGTTCTGAGAGACTAGGACGACAGGTACTTCTGTATTGACAGCTGATGGTGAGGTGAACTCTACCGACTTATTCGGAATACCAAGCTCAACTGTTACTGTGATATCCTTCACACAGGTAACAACAATATCCTGGGTCGTTGCAGGCCGATTTGTGTCAACTAGTTTAAAGATTGATAGATAACATTGGTGAAATAAACAGGAAAGTGGGGGAAAGATTCTTGATATAAATTTCAAACATTTCAACTTTCCCCCTCATCCCTTAAGACCGACGACCGCCCGTGGCCAGTTCTGTTACGAGACTTTAAAGTGACTCGGTAACATTGTTGAAAAAAAGTGTAATTTTTGTATGAAATGTTATTTATAATATTCCTTCTACTAACCCTGTAAAATGCAAAAGAATCCTGAAAAAATTCTGAAACCACAAAGATATTTATGGATTTTTTGAAGGTGTCCCAGTGCCACCTCTAACACTAAATTTTCCCAACCATTTTTGAATTTTTTCAACCATTTTCCCATGAAAATAAGACATAGGACAGGTTTTTTAAAATCTGTCAACGCTTAAATGTTTGCAATGATATATAGAACCAATTCATTGGTTTGTGATGATTTACATTCACCTAATATATAAGTGAATTGTTATAATAAAGTTGGGAGAATTAAGGAATCGATCAGATCATTTTTTCCCAATTGTTATCATCAATAATGGTCTGTTTTAAATCCAACCTTCAGATTAACTTTAATTGTACATCTAGCATCGACGAAGTCACTACCTTAGCACCAGTTTTTCTCATCGGAACAATGTTAATACCAAATCCCTTTAAGGCCGGTAACGGTCGGTATTTTCTTAGTTTCGAGTCTAGCATTACAAGATCGGTCTATTTATAATTTTTAAGTTCCAAATCTAATCCGAAGTTCATTTCGTTCAAAAATCCAAACTTAGTTTTGTCGTAAAGTGCGCGATTCCCAAAAGAAAGGATGACGAGAAGGAACCTACTCGTCTCTAATGGTAACCCTTTCTTCTTACGTTCATGACATCGTTTTCCTTGAAATCCGATAGGGCAGTGACATCTATATCGGGTCATAGTCTCCTCACACCAGCCGTTTTCACATGGATTCATGTCGCAATCTGCAAACATATTTAATGAACATGTAATTTAATAAACACAAACCAGCATCTCTAATATTAGAATTACTCCGGGTTTCTTGAATAATAACAAATATTTATAAAACTTACTAATGTATTCCTAGATACAATCATTATTTTTCTTAAAGACCATATCCGAGCTGAAAAATGAAATGGATGAATTATATATCAACGGAAAGCTTATGAGCCATAGATTACAATAATATTACTAATATTAAATGCCATTTTAGTGTCTGTCAGAGGAGTAACAGCCCTCTGAAAACTCAAAATCTAAAGCTTTGAAAATCGGAATTGTCGACCTAAAAACTTGCTACCGACTTGATGACATCATCTAATGTGGAGTGCGCATATTCACAATGACTTTGCAGTAATTAAGCACGGCTCATCGCCTCAACTTTATAGGCGAACCGGTTGAGTCCTCATGTAATGTCGTCACTGTAACTTCGGCAAGTTTGACCCCTGTTGACCCGTAATTTGGAGTGGCGCGGAAAATGAAGTTTTAATTTGCTTTTGTGCAATAATAAAAGGGTAAATACTAGTTATTCCTTTATATTTATATTCTACAAATACAGTTTTCCATTTATATCAAGTTGTATTTTCATCGGATAGGGTCTTTAAAAATCCAAACAAAAGTAGAAAAGCTCTCCAAAGGATTTTAGAGAAAACCAGAGAGGAAAACAATCACCCGGGAATCTGCAGACTCGATGTCCAGGCGGAACACCAAGTTTACTCTCCCTTCTGGGGCAACGGCCTTCTTCGAATGAATTCGTGATAAGCTTTGGGATGGTTTGTACCATACTGCCATTGGGATGTCCTTTCTTCTGACACTCAAACAACATTGGTAAGGTGTAATTGAGGCCGAATCTGTCCGTACAACAAGCCTTTGTCTCATTCTTGCTTGCATCCGATGACACGAGTAGGGCTGCTACAGTAGGGAAGATATACAAGGAGAGTAGTTACCATGGTTGCATAGGTTTCTTGTCCCTCTTTAAGATTATCCTAGATATTACCCTGCGATGAATTATAATTCGTATAGATTCGGTAAAATTTCTCCGTTAGGTCATAATCTTTCGTGTATTCTCTTCCAATTATTTTTCTCATGATATTTTGTTTACTACATGTATTTCATTTTATTTACTAACATGACGAAGATCTGATGTTCGAGACCAGCTTCCACGTGGCACGAAGCATCGAATTGTACACCTTATATTGAGAGATTCATCTTTTAGGAAGATATATATTCCGGGTCAGACATGAAACTGATTATTAAGAATAGAATAATTTGCTCTTATATTATTTTCCATTTGTTGGGCTTATTTATGTTTATAAGAAATATGTTATTGTATTATTTGACTTTGCATGTTTTTATGAAAGTAGTGAATACAATTCTATTCAATTCAATTCAATAATCAACCACATAATTATCATAATAAAAAAGGCATTATCTTGATCTTCTAATACAGAGCAACTAAAGAACCATTTTAAAGAGATAGGTGGATAAATAAAAAGATGGAGGAAGATATGAGATAGTAATGAAAGATTGAGGCAAAGGGAAGGGGAGGGAAAATGGATATTTTTTAAGAGGATCTTTATAACGGTGCCCCATCCCAATTTTTAGTAACACAATGACATTAGACATGATAATTAAGTGGAAGAGGAGTGGTACAGAAATTTAGGGGAGGAAATGAGGGAGGGGGATGGGAGAGGAGAAATTAGCAAGAAAGAATAACAAATATATTAAAAGCCGGTTAACGTGTTTTGTCTTTTGAAGAAAATGATAGGGTCCCGAAGGCAAAGTATAAAAATAATCACAGGAAAATTTAGTTCAAGCTATATGTATTTAATTTTGATGCCATTCCGCCATTTAAATGGGTGATCATGACTGTAAGCAAGGATGTTTTATTTTCTCAAGAGGAATCACTAAATTTCCTATTTAATGCATAATAAAGCAATATTTACCAAAGGACAGGCAGATTACGATGTCCAAACATTTCAAAACATACTTCGGTTCCATACTCTGTGCTAAAAGGGGGAAGATAGTGATGATAACAATTAACGTCATTTTATCATACAAGTTCAGATTTCTGTTAAACTTCATTAATGTATATACTTAATCAGTGTTTGCAAACATGTAACTATTCAAATGGTTTACATCTTTGAAATCTTAGGTTAAAAAAAAAGTGCCGACCGTAAGGGTTATCATGAATCTAACCAGTTTTTGACAATTTTATACCCGGATAACGTGTTGTCCAAGGAAATACCCTATTTCTGTTTGAACAAGAATGAGAGCACCATTTATCAAAGCTTTACCAAATAGTCATAGGCATAGTGATTGAGTTAATCATCTTCATAGGGTGAATGTTTTCGTCAATCATTACTCACCGGTTTGGTAGAAAAGACAACAAAAACCTCGTAATAAGTTATCGATCTTGATGTGATCAACGGATGTGGTACTATCCAGTAAAGGACAAAGTTAAAGAGACAATTTAGCTTTGCATATCGAATACTATGCCGGAAAGAACGAAGCATTGGTTAAGAAGATTATAAGAACTGTTGAGCTTCAACATCCATGATATCCAAACCAATAGATAATAATATCACTGCAGCGGGTGCATAAATCTTGTTGTGTTTGGCGGCAAATGATATTGATACTTAGGTGAATAGAGATGATCTGCTAAAGGAATAGTTGCAAGGAAATCGTCTGATTGGTGCGTTAAAACAACTAATAGTCTGTCGTTATAACAACGTCAATACCATACCAACGATACGTTAATATAGTTACATGTTACGCCCCTGGGGAAAACGACATGGATGCATGGAGTGTTATAATATGTTATAATACGCCATCTATGAACAAAAATGACAGTATTTCTTTCTGTCCCTTTTTTTATACTCCAACTAGAAACATCATTAAGGGAAAATAAAATGACTTTTCGTCAGTCATTGTAAGTATAGCAAAAGAACAGAAACAACAATGAACGACAGGGCGTTCAATGTGTTTTTCTTCAAATAACTTTTTGGGAAACCGTTGGGTGTGACAATGAATGTCCATTATTTCTTATCGTATTTTAATCCGAATAGTATGCAATGGAACTTCACAAAATCCTAGATTAATTTTTGTTTGTTTTCCATCATTCTAATTACACCATAGAACAGAGTGCGCTTTAAACATATTAAAATAGATTGTTGGGGGCAATGCATAAATGTAGGGCTCCTTATTCTTTCATGACGGAAAGATGCAAGCGAAAGGATAAATACTCTTCTGGGTGGGGGGGGGGGGGCGGGAAATAGTTTGAAAATGCTGGAAGTTGTTTTTAAAATGTGATCAGGGGTAGATTTGAAGGACAATTTAACAACAAATTTTGTCATATGACTTCATAGTTTCCTCTTTTGCCTCCTGGATTCTCCGTTGTCTAGACGTTGATATTTGTTCCTCGTGTTGCCACGTTTGGCATGAGCTTGGAACTCTTCAAACTCCCCCAATATACAGTGATACAATATACAAAAGGTTAAAACGTCACAAAAAAAAAAATACACTTAAAGGAAACCTTAACCCAAAGAATAAGTGTAGGTTTTCTGAAAAATGAGATGTATTCCTGCCCTTTGATGTACAACATTCCTTACGAAAATGTACAAGAGATATATAAATGAAGATGTGCCTGGCATGATGTGATGCCTTTTAGCATGACATGGGCGCAGCCATTTTCTTGAAAATGTGACGTACCTGTTGAAGTTGTACATGTATCATGCAACAAGCTTTAGTTGGAAAGAATGTTTAAATCAATAACGAAACCATTACTTTTCAATGAAAAAAAAAATAACTGAGATGATATAAATTATATTAGGTGAAAAATAAATAACAGGGGCACAATTGTAACAAAATTCATTTATAAATACTACACTATAGCAGTTGACAAATCTATTTCATTTATGAGAAACCTTCACCCCAGAAGAGCACTAACTTATTTATGCAATTTGCGTTCTGGCAATTATAGTACAAAGGATAATAGCAGGTGAATGGAATGCTTCATAACCACACACGTCTGGAAAAGAAGCACCATAAATTTGAATACATTTACTTGATAACGACTTCGCATAGTACGTCACATTATCAAGAAAATGGCGATGCCCATGTCGTGCTGAGAAACTGTACTTTATTTTTGCTTTGTACCTCTCTCATACACTTTGGGAATCTTGTAGATTTGTGGGCAATAATATAATAAATCTCTCAGAATAAGTAAAGTTATTACTTGGGGTTCGGTATCCTTTAACATGTGGCTTTTACATGCAATACAAAAAAAAACGTTTCTGACAAGTTTGTCCAAAAGCATTTTAAGTCTCTGTCACAAATACCCTTACGGGCTGCTACGAACGCCGTACGAACGATTTTCAAACCATTTCGTAAGATCTTCTTAAGAAGGCCGTACGAAACCAGCGTTCGTAGACCGTTCGTAGACCGTTCGTAAGATCGCAGATTGGTCGATGGTCTTGTCCAAGATTTTTTTAACATCGTACGAAACCCTCTCTTCGTAAGGCGGCCATACGAACGCCGTAATTACACCGTTAGAACCACGCAAGATTTTCGTACATTTCGTAGGGTCGGGGGACAATTCTAGAAGCTTCAAATTATTACGATGACCGTAAGAACGCCTCAAGTTATTCATAGAGGGCTCTTACGGCGTTCGTAAGAACGCCCAACGAGCGGAGATAATTATGGCCTTCGTACGAAAGACTCCTGGCGTTCGTAAGGCGTTCGTAAGGAGCTCGTAAGGTGTACGTACACAATTTATGCAAATTTTGGGTTTTAGCGGTTATAAAGCCTAGCGCGCGAAGTTCAAATCTTCACTCTGTTCATAGTCAAAGGCGACGGAAGCGGGGGGGGGGGGGGGCACTCGCTCCAACCAAGAAACGCCTTTTTGCCCCCCCCCCCAAAAAGCCCCACCCCCCTCCCCCTCCCCCAAAAAAGAAAAGCAGTAAAGGAGTAAAAATGGTTTGTATTTTTAACCCAAAAGAACATAACAATAATAAAACCTGAAATAAATCACATATAAAATTCAATTCAAAGAAAAGGAAAGTTAAGAGGAATATAAATGCTTAAACATTCCGCATGCCACCTATATTTGCCAATGGATGTTTTTATAAAAGCGATACAAGCATATCTTCGAGATATTATGAGAGGATGGGAAAGCATTTGTGTTTTCTGTTATAGGGGTGAGAAGACATGAGCCCCTGAACGCTGGCGTACTGATAGGTAGATGGGTGATATTTCTTATTCGATACCAGTGATTTACAAATGTTACTGAAATGACATGATTTTCCGGTATTTTTTTCTCAGTATTTTTGTAAGTCATACCTTTTTATGTGTTTGTTGGAAAATTAGAAATTCCCAAATTTACAGGCGGGCGAAAAATATGCTTATTTAAAGTCTTTATGTCAGGGCCTGCAGAACAACAGGGCTCGGGGGCTCGAGCCCCCTCACTTTTTGATAAAGTATGTTACAGAGAAAAAGAAAGAAAGAGAGAAAAAATAAGTAATTAAATGCCTAATAAAAACCTCAGAACTTACAGCGGCTCTGCCACCTAGACTCCCCTCCAATTAGTGACATGCCAGTGTCACAAATAAGCTTATCTAAAGCTTATCTAAATGTGCCTTTCTGACAGTAATGTAATGCCTAAAAACCCTGATCTTCAGGGGGCTCAGCCCCTTGACTCCTTGCCGAGGCTCAGGCCCTGGACCCCACGCCAATATACGTGTAAGAGTGGTGGTGATGCAGATTTTTCTTCTGCCCCCCCGTCTTCCAAACGTTTTTGCTCATTACGCCATTGCCCCTGGAAGGTGAGCCCTGGAATGTTTGCCCCCCCCCCCCACCCCCAATTCCAAACTGCTTCCTGCGCGCCTGTTCATAGTGTTCGTCGAGGGTGCATCTCCTGTCGAAGAAATATGGGACCAAAGGGGAAATCTGTTAGAGGGAAGAGAGGGAAGGGAAACACACTTAAGGAAAGAGATGAGGAGGAAGGAGAAAGAGGAGGAGAGCAGCAACAACAATATCAAGAAATGATGGACATTGGAAGCGACCGGGATGAGGCGGTGGAAGATGACGACTAGGAGGAGGGAAAACCATCAAGACGGCAGTTTGATAGCGTGGAAGATGAGGTAACAGGGAAACTAAGAAAGGAGAGGTATGACTTTGATGCCACCACAGAGCAAAAACTTGTTGACTTTTTCGGTGAACATGACTGCTTTTATAATGAAGGAAGTAACAGATATGCTAACAGTAAGTTCAAGAAACACATGATGGAGTTGCAGTTGCAGGTGTAGTCTTCTTGGCAATACTGCCATCGTGAAACATCAAACTTTCAACAGTCATAGAATTTCGACAGTATACGGCAGCGCTTTTTTGCAACCCGGTCAAATATTAAAACAAATCGAGAGAGAGAGAGAGAGAGAGAGAGAGAAAGAGAGAGAAAGAGAGAGAGAGAGAGAGTGCCCATACACCATTAGATAGATAGATAGTGACTGCAGTTTATTGAGTAAATTCGACCGTCGGACCGTGTTGTTTTCACTTTTTCTCGTTTGTCAGTTTTATAACGAGTATAAATAAGTAAGTGAATCGTGATACTCTTGGTGATTCGGATTTTTTAAAAACTTGAATCTTTAGCGAATTTCTGTTTATTGTACTACTACCAAAGTGCCAATTTATGTGAGAAATAGGATGAGAGTGATGTTTCCACCGTCGCTATGGCGATTCAGAGAGTGGGAAAATCCACCGGAGAGCCACGCTAAATCGGCTATTCTTTGCTTTTGGATGGTTTGTGGCCGTATGCGCGTGTGTGTGCGTGTGTATGCGTGCGTGTGCGTGTGTGCGTGTGTGTGTGTGTGTTTGTGTGGAGTATAAGATTGTGCAAATGTTCACAGAGTGGCAACTTTTGTTGTGGTGTGTGATAAGATGTGTTTTGTATGCTTGTGTGTATGAATGTGGTGTGTTTTGTGGTGTATGTGTGTGTGTGTGTTTGTGTTTGTATGAGGGAGGGGGATCTGGGAGTACCAGTAAAATAACCTCCAGTTTTTATTTTGTTATTTTTTTTTAATTATAAGTGAATAATATGTACAATCGACTTATAACTTATGTTTAAGTACTTTAAGTTTACTTTCCATTTTTGCTCAGTTATATATACTGCATATGAATTGTTGTTTAATGATGTTTTTGTTTATGTATACGCAATCAATATTGAAAACGTTTTTATTTCATTCAGTTGTATGTTTGTGTTACACTATTGGAGGAATAAAACAGAATTTAAAAAAAAAGCGCATGTGTGTGTGTGTGTGTGTGTGGGTGTGGGTGTGCGTGCGTGGGGTTAGGGGGGACTTCAACTTAGGGGGAATCGCCCTATGGAGTAATGTTTCGGGGGTGATTGACCATCGGGGAAGTTGTTCTAAGGGGGTAATAATCCTGAGGTGATTGTCCAACGGGTTATTGTCCTAGGGGGTTATTGTACTAAGAGGATAATTGTCCTAATGGGGGTAATTGTCCTAGGGGTTAATTGTCCATTCTCATTTCTTTTCGCTCTGTATTTATTTCCACGAGAGGTGCCGCAGCTGTCATATAGGACATTTCTTAACAATTATTATACATATATATATATTATGTGCGTGTGTCCGTGTGTGTTTTTTGCGTATGTGTGCTATATATTTCTTGGAGGTTTTTTAGGGTTACACTTAAAGATGAAGTTGAGTTCTGGTCATGCGATTGCATTGTGAAAGAAACGGTCTGGAATCAACCAGAAAGGTTGATCATCTAGCATATACGAATTTGTGTGTATTGCAGGGTTCTAGAATCATAAAATGATAAGAATTTTGGCCAAGTCTTGGTAAAGTTACAAACATTGTACACAGAAAGATGTATATGGGACTACACGAACACATGGGGTAAAAATCCTACCCGGGTTTTTACGATGTTACATGACATATTTAGAATATGAAGGCATTTAAAGAGCCATGCTTTTCAGGGAACATGTCTTATCTGATGTTCTTCCACACTTGCATAGTAAGAATGATAACGCTAACAAATTATTTTTCACCTGTTCCCGGAACCCAACCTTCTCTTTAACGTATGCTCACTTGCAGAATTTGTGTGGATATGTGTGCGTGGACAGGCGCGAGTGCGTGCGTGTGTGGGTGCTGTTTTATAGCCCCTCTAAAGTTTTGGGAGCCCTATATTCACCAATAATTTGATGGCCAAATTTCGCTTAAATTGACCCATAATGTGATGTCATTCAAGACACACTTTTGCTAAGGTCCCCCCCCCCATAAAAAAAGAAAAGAAAAAAAAATGTGTTTGAAGACAAATATTGTTAAAAGAATACATAATTGCCGTACGCAGAAAACCTAAAGTTTGTATTCTATCATAAATATTCGACTTTATACCCATTTGTTTTGAAAATCCTTGCAGATATGTGTCTCAAATGACATCCTCTTTCACATTATGGTTCAATTTAAGAGCAATTTTGCCATCCAATGTTTTTGGGCTCCCAACACTTTAGAGGGGCTTTAATGTATTCCTTAATTCTAGTTCTATACGATTTATTAGCATGTCATTAATAGCCTACCTATATATTAAAGCCATTTCGTAGATAAAATATGAAGGTAATTTCTATAAAATTCTAAAGTGCTCGCGGAAATGATGAAATCTTTGTTCATTCATGTATTACGGTACATGTTATATACACAGACGAGAGGATTCTTTTCGAGAGGACATGTACTCATAAAGCGAAGGGAGGGTGGGGGGGGGGGGGGGGGGGGGCTTCCAATTGGGGGGTAATTTTCCGGGGGTATTTTTCCAGGGGTAATTGGCCATTGGGGAAGTTGATCTATTGGGAGTAACATTCCTAGGGTGATTGTACAGGGGGTTGTTGTCTTGGGGGGTAATTGCCCTGGGTTAATTGTCCTTTCTCAGTTCCTTTCGCATTGTATTTATTCCCACTACTGATGCCGCAGCTAGCTTATAGCTTTACATTTATCATAATATATCTATATATTATGTACATGTATCCGTGGATAGGCGTGAGTACGTGCGTGCGTGGGTGATGTTAATTTATTCTTTAATCTATAGTTCTAGTCGGCGCATGGGTAATTTGTAATATACAGGTAATTTGTACGAAATTCTAAAGTGCTCGCGAAAATGATGAAATCTTTATTTCTTCATGTATTACGGTAGATGCTATATACTCAGGCAGGAGGGTTCTTTCCATACTCATGAGGGCACCTACGTGACTCTAGCTGGAATTATTCTTTTTTTAAAGATAAAGAACGTGGAATTTATTTAGGTCAAAAAGATCTGTGGATACTCGGGTTCATTTGTACCGTGAGCTCTAACCACAAACTGGTCTATTAAACCAAATGATTGTCTAATTGAGAATCATATGATTATTTTTTTTCAATTCGGCTATAGCGGATCTTGTTAAAAGAAAGAGAAAAAGTGGTCTACCTGGTACGCAAACATGCCACAGCCACGCAGAAATGGAGGCGGCCAGGCCCCGGCGCAGAGACGTAACAATGCTGCTTGGAGGGCAAGATGGGCTAAATTTAAGGTGAGAAAATGTATTATATCATTAATTTTATCACTCTCTTCATCATCTTAATAATAAATATAATTGATAGCACTTTTACCATTATTATCATCATCATCATTATTATTATCATCATTATTATTGTCATTATTGTTGTCATTGTTATTATCATCTTCATCAGCATCATCATTAAAAAAGAACCACCATATCATTATTTTTATTATTATCATCATCCTTATATTCATCATCATCATTATTGATATCAAATTAATGATAACCCAATTTTAATTTCTACTTCTTCCTTTCTTCACAAAGAAAAATTTCACAAAGAAAAGGAGTCCCAACTTCCACTACCGAGCTGGTCTCACCATCGGTGGTATCCAGCTGGTAGCAGGCATCTTATCTGTCATACTTTCAGGGGTCGCTGTAACATTCTACCATTGGGATGTTATAGGCTACCCATCGGTTGGAGTTTGGGCAGGGATTGTTGTAAGTAAAACATTATCTCAATTCAAATCAATCCAGTTCAGTTCAATAATAGTTTTTCGATGCATTAAAAACTTGTTTGTACGAATTGTTTAAGGTGAAAAGCAGCAGCCGAAACTGAGTCATTTAGGTTTAGATATAATGTTGGCATAATGCATGATATATTTAAAAAAGATACGAACATGACTTGTTAAAACTCATTGAATATTGTTCTACGAGGTCAGTGGAGTATCCAGACATTAGTCAACAGGGGGGGGGGGGGGGGTTGAGGGGCGAGATGGTTGAAATTCACTGGTTGGAGTTTGGGCCGGGATGGTAGTATATAGTTGTGCGCCGGTAATTTATTTATATTGTGTTTTTTGAATGACGAAGCATTTTAAACTCAATGTAACTCTCTTTTTATAAAGTAATTTTGTTTATTATATTGTCAATATGTGATAAAAGAAACCTGTGGAAGGGACAACAAATTGGGGAAAAATTCAATTAAATCTTCTCATTGTTTTCTTCCATCAGTTTTATATCCCTGCTGGTATCCTTGGAATCGCAGCAAAGAAGCAGCACACATTCATCGTAAGTCCCATCTAGCCAATTTAAATAAAAATAAAATCTTTGTTATAAGTTCATTTACATGAAAGCAGAAAAAACAAGAGAACAGAATCGTGGAAGATTGAAATGAATTGGACCTTTAATGAGAAAGTAATGAATGTTTCAATTATGAGATAACTAAGACAATATAATCTCATATTTTTTCTCCTTAGTGCCGTCTTCCTTTGGGCACAACACAAAATGTATCATGAATAGCTTATTTTTATAGTTCCTCTCAAAATAAAAGACCCTCTTTCGGGGAAAAACAAAGGTGATATTTTAGTCATTTTGTGTGTTGAAACAAATGGGGAATGTAGTCCGGCACTGCGTCACAGTGGCATTATTTATTCAACCAATTCGAAATGCTCAAGGGTATAGTGATAACATTTTTCATAACTCATTTTTTGTCTTATGTCACTCAAACTTTCACCAGGCTGCTTCTCTAATTGGTCTGCTTTCTTACAGAGCTATTTTGCTATTAAGGTTGGATTTCCCTTTAAAGCTAAAGACCAGTTATGGTCATGCGATTGCATTGTGAAAGAAACGTTGTGGAATGGATCAGAAAAGGTTGATCATCTAGCATATAAGTATTGGTGTGTACTGCAAGGTTCTGGAATCATCAAAATGATAAGAAACTTGGCCCAGCCTTCGTAAAGTTACAAGCACTGTACACAGAAAGATGTATATGAGACTGCTCACAAGTGCGCGACACGTGCGTTTATCTCTCACAGTCCAATAGATAAACTAATTTACCAAATATATCAATTAGTAGGCGGTTTCCCGGAAAAAAATTATCATCATGTATTAGTCAAAACATATTCTTTCTCATGATTGGTAATAAGAGCTTCCATTTCATTTTTTGAAATTGGGGCGTTTCCAATACTGGTCTTTACCTTTAAAGATAAACTTGGCCCTGTTTCATAAAACGTTTTATCAATAACAAATGCTAATTTTCTATGACAAATTTGCTCTCAGCCAATCAGATGTCATGATTTCAGTAGCTTATAACAGTTATTGTCACTTGTTATTGATAACATGTTTTATGAAACAGGGTCCCTGAACATGTATGGTGATAGAAACTGTTTCAAAGGCAAGCAATGCACCTTTTACAAAAATGTATTCAAATGTATACAACTTTAGTTATAGCAACGAGCTTTTCAGCCCATAAACACCGCACACTATACGACCTGACTACGATCCGATTTAAGAAAAAAATTCAATATAGCATTTGATGTGAACATTCAAACATGTAAAGTATTAGTGATCGAGGACCTGAATAGTCATACTATTAATAAAATCTCAATTTGAGGGAGTTTATGCTTCCTTGGAGGATGAAAAGCTTGATCTGATCAGAATCGTAGTGACGTCAGACCAGTGCGATTGTTTATGATTTGAAGCCGATTCAGTTTGTCTTCTGAATATAATATGGCTTGCCCTACCTAACAAAATGGAATGTAAGCAATTTGCTTTAAGACTATTGAAATAGAATTATACGTAACAGGCAAATAAAATAATTCGTAACGAGGACTCAACATGGCACCACATCTTGACAATAGTGTATGCTTTAATATGTTGATTACCATTGTATTAGTAATTTCTTTGCTTTTACCAGATTATTCACTCTAATTTTCATCATAGATCTACCTTTATATGACATGGAGCATCTTTTCGGCCCTGGTTGGTCCTTTCATGACTATTTTCGAGGGGGTTGTTGCCGGAGTGGGGTCGCTTGTATTCGCCTGCAAGGGCCTTCTCGGACCTCTATTTGGTATCTGGCCGATCAACGCAGTAGTCAACGAGAGTCTCTGCGAGAAATTTGGCATAGAGGTGGGGTTTTCCTCCATTTTCTTCTTCTTCATTTTTTATTTCTTCTTCTTCTTCCTTTTTTTTCTTTCTTCTTCGTTTTCCTCTTTTCTCTTTTTCTCCTTTTTCCTTTCTTCTTGTTCTTGTTTTTCTTCTTGTTCTCATATCTCTTTTAATTCTTTTTCTTTTCTCCTTTTTTCTTCTTCTTTTTCTTTCATCTTTTTTACCGGAGTGTTGGCTCAGTCAGTAGAGCGTCCGCCTCACAACCGGGAGGTCGTGGGTTCGAACCCCGGCCGCGTCATACCAAAAGACGTTTAAAGATGGGAGTTGTTGCTACCTTGTTTGGCGTTCAACAATAAGGGATAGAGCAACGTCGATCTGGCGCTGCTCAGTGGCTGCCGGGCTCACGATCAATTGGGCAAAAAGAATTTCCGTTTCGGATTAATAAAATTTTGAGTGGACTATTTGGCTATTATTATTATTATTATTATTATCTCTTCCTTCTTTTTCTTCTATTTCCACATTCTTTTTCTTCTTCTTCTTCTTCTTCTTCTTCTTTTCCCTTTTTCTTTTTCTTCTTCTTCTATCCTTTGTCTTCGTTTTTTATTTCCTCTTCTACATTATCATCTCCTTCATTTTTTCTTCTTATTTTTATTTTTCCTTTTCCCAGCATTCTTTTTCTTTTTCTATTTCTTCTATTTTCTATTTCTTTTTCTATTTCTTCTCTAGAATTTAATGTGAACGTAAAGATGTATTTTGCCTTATAGTAGATAAGTCTGTGGACTGCTCACCAACCACAATGTACGTGATAAGAAACCCTGCCGTATAGCAGGAATGTCCTTTGGCAAGACACAATCTATATTTGCCACACTCGACCCAGGTGTATAGAAAGTGGGTACCTGGTAGGATTTATACATTGAATAACCTGAACGCTTTACGGTTGCCGGAGATAATTATAATTATCTTAAAGCTAAAGACCAGTTATGGTCATGCAATTGCATAGTGAAAGAAACGTTGTGAAATCGATCAGAAAAGGTTGATCATCTAGCATAGATGTACTGCAAGGTTCTGGAATCATCAAAATTACAAGAAATTTGGCCAAGTCTTCATGAAGTTAGAAGCACTGTACACAGAAATATGTATATGCATTTGTATCTCTCAACAGTATATAGATATACTAATTTACCAAATATGTCAATAAGTAGGCGGTTTCCCGTCAATTTTTTTATCGTCATGTAATATTCAAAACATATTCTTCCACATGATTGGTAATAAGAGCTTCCATTTCATTTTTTGAAATTGGGGCGTTTCCAATACTGGTCTTTACCTTTAACTCCGTTCAAAGCGCATGGAGACGTTATAACGCGATATGATATAATAATAACACTGTTGCCCATGAAATTAGAATAATTTTTCTTTACCCCTTTTCATAAAATGATTGTGACAACATTATACCTTCTTGATAAACAACGTTTATCATCACATCTAAAGATTCATACAGAGTGATTCATGTAAAGTTCTTAGAAGATATGAACTTTTCCTACGATTTTTAAATCATATTGTCACAATCATTAATTTGTCATCAAAAGAGGTAAACAACAAAATTATCATCTTTATGGGCAACATTGTACAAGAACGGCATTATCATCATCATTATTATACCATACATAAATCCATCATACAAAAAATGATTTGAAATCTTATTTTGCCGACTGTGTTACCATGGTTACGAAATGGATTGTCAGCGCAGGCAAACATAATGATGGAAGATGACTGAATGATAAAATTTCTTTTCTTTCATCTCCTTCCACTACGACAATGAAATCAGGAAGCCGTCTACATTCACGGAATGCTAGCCTTCATCGGTTTAATCGAGTTCGTCGTATCCATTGTCGGGTCTGCCTTCTGCTGCGATGGACTTTGCTGTGGAAGATCAAAGCGAGTCGCCCCCGTCGATGTCAATGTGGTAAGATGATCCCGAAAAAAACTGGGAAAAAAACCGCGGGCGCATCCAAAGCCCCCCCCCAAATAGCCGCCCCCATTATCAAAAATAAAGCAAACAAACACACAACAAGACAGTATACGTATGGGTGAACGACCACTCGATCCTCATTCATAGGGGGGATGGGCAGGGGGGGGGGGGGCACTGAATTCTCATCAGATTATCACCAAAATTACTGGGACTTTTCTTTTTTAGGGGGAGGGGTACACCCCCTCCAAGGGGGCCATGAGTTGACCGTCAGGGATCGGAAATTATATTCCTTGTGATAACTCACTCTCATTATAATTTACCCCCGCCCCTCTTTCGAACCATTTTTGATACGCCTGTGGTGACCTGTGGCTAGATTAATTTTATGTAATCATGATAATGGTTATGGCCAGTTTGGGGGCAATAATATAACGCTAGAAATCCAATTTAATTAGAGATGATTAAATTCGCTTTGCATACTAAAGTAGTTACCGTGGTGATGATTTCCATCTTTATGATAAGCAATTAGGCTATTATTCCATTATCACTAAATTGGCGTTTACAGCCATAGGCATGGAATGGAGATTATCCCCATCTCATCGATAGGCAACTAAATGGTTTACGTTTTTTTCCCCTCTTTCATATTTTCTCCACCATGCAGTAAGTGTCGAAACGCAACCAATGACTTCATATTCTTGCAGCAACCAAGATGGCGCAGTTTGTCTTTCGACTTCACGCAGCAGGTTTTCAATTTCAAATCAATAGCGCCTTTAGAGCTGTTTGGGACGGATGGGGCTTATTTATTGAAGCCCCTCCCCCCCAAAAAAAAAACAACCGCGAGGCACATGTAGAAGATTTTTTTAATGGATTTATCTTTTCCTTTAAAATTCGACTTCATTTATGATAATATTATTATGTGTTTTGTGTCCTAAAATGCTTTAAATTCTTGTCGACAATAGATATTGTATAATTACAAATAAGTTTAATATGCTATGTAATATTTCAAATGTCATTTGATATTAATTTCAATGTGAATTCTTGTCGACAATAGATATTGTATAATTACAAATAAGTTTAATTTCCTATATTATATTTCAAATGTCATTTGATATTAATTTCATGTACTCTTTTTGATCCTTTGATTGAGTAATGGAAATGTTATTATTTGAATTCAATTTAATTGAATTGAATGAATGCAAGAGACTATAACAGACTGTAGATTTGTTACAAACAAGATACATATACTTTGAATGCAATGTGATGTAATTATATGTCGCATAATAATGAAATCAGTATGATCAGTGTGAATTGTATGACATCTTTGTCTTTTACTTACTTTATTAGCTGAGTAATTAAACTTGTTTTTGGATTTCTTGCCAATTCAGTCAGTATGTTGCATATAAATAATAGTCATTTGGCAAGCAGTTGTTAATATGTGTAAATATGTTTACATTTTCCCACAATGCTCTAATTTTTAGGTTTTCTATATTACAAGTACATGACCTTTGTTTTTCATTCAAGGTTTCTTGCCATTTGAGTCAGTATTTTGCTTGTAAAGGACTTGTTTCCCTTCATTCTGTTGTTCTGTTTACATGCTTTATACTCTCAAAATGGTTAGATGTATTCGAAAATACTATTAATGAAATGGTGTAACAGCCATCGGCATTCACTTTGTGTTATAAAGGTGTAAAACTACTAAAAGAAATGCGAAATACTTCGGTAATACAAGAGACATCAGAGTCTCTTGAAAGATCTGTTAGAAGGTAAAAAAAAAAAAAAGGTTCTAGACCTTGAGAGAAGCCGATAACCAAATGTTAGAGGAGAATAAAGGCCTGGAGTGGAAAGAGGAAAACGGCGCAATTAACCTCAGATTTTTTAATTTGAAAGGAAATATATAAATTTAACTCATTTTGAAGGTGGCATTGATAAGTGCCCTTTGTTATACATTTTGTACCCATACATTTGTATGCATCATAAGCAAAATATTCTGTAATACCATGTCTATCTACATAGTATATGATTTTATTTAGTTGTATATATTTGTATTTTTTCCCATTGAAATTTTCAAAGAAAACTAATTCAGTTGTGAGTTTTGCCCTTCCATGTGATCACTCCGATCTCTCCGATTTCGTTATATTCGTTATATTATAAATGTATACATTGTACTAATTGTATTCTATGCAACTCTCAGTCTTCGGCAAACGTGTACGAGACATTTTATAAAAACTTTCAATTTGTTTTCTTATAATAATTATTAAGCTGTTAACCTTCAGAATAAAGCTCTGAGTCTATCTTAAATATTCCATTCATGAAAATTGTAAATCATAATTTGTTCGTGTCTCCCCACTTATTAATGTTCTTCATTGACTTCGTGCTAATTATTGTATCAGGGAAGTCCACCCTGATATTAACTTGGTTTTAATAGAAACGGGGGAAAAAAGAGAAACAATTAAGTGAAAGTTTGAGAAAAATCGGTCAAAAGATAAGAAAGTTATGAATCTTTCAAAATCTTGAAAACTCATGGAATCTTTGAGACAAATTGGCAATGTGGTCAGAGAAGTTATGATGTCATCCCCTTACAATAATATTCACCACTGATCTGAATGACAGAATGACTCGAAATCTCCATTTCTCTGAATATTTTCTTATATGGGGCTGCATGAAACATATAACTCCGTGACATATAATTGAAATAGGCATGAAGAAAGAATATATTTTAATCAAAATGGAATTAAATGACATTTTTTGCATTCAACAAGGGATAAAATGTGAGGGCAGGGCGGGACTTCATAATTATTTAGAGAGCGCGTTGCTAATTTGACTCACAGATACAGATTTGAAGTATTTTATGAAAAGTTATGGATTTAAAAAAGCCATAACTTTCTTATTGATTGTCCGATCTTTCTCAAACCTTCACTGATCTGTTCTCCTTGTATTAAAACAAAGTTATTATCAGGGTGGACTTCCCCTTTAACTCTCACTTATACAAATCGTAATAAAACTCTCAAGTCCCAGCATACCTAGGTGATCTACTGAATTAACACACATCGAACCAGTAAATAACTCTCAAATCATTCAAGCATTATCTAGAAACAATAATCTTTTTAATATCGTGGTATCATGAACACACTTGTCTATTTTTTCTATTGAAAAAAGGAGAAGAAAAACCCATATGATGTTAGATCACCTGGTTAAATTACCTGGATTAGAGTGCAGTATGGATGACGCGGTTGAATCGCTTACAACAAATCAGCTTACTTACTTTCTTTGTTCTTCAAAGTTTACCTTTCCCCGTCTACCCATTCAACTTACGCGTTTAACTGCCCCAATAGACCCCCCCCCAACACACACACACACACACACACACACACACACACACACACACACACCGTCTCTCTTGATCAATAACCCTACCGGTTGGCCTATGTCAATAGAAGTGACGTCTAGTCGCCAAGGGGGACTTTTTAGATTCGCACGAAGACAATGGGGATTGCTATACGATCGACGTCCTTTTAATGCATTGCCTTGAATGGACGTCACACGTATCAGTCCACGCAAATCTAAAAGTCCCTATTGCCTCTGACGTATTTCGTGTAGAACAGGACCATGGAGGCAGATAATACAGCAGCCAACCATTGCCGGGTGAAAAGGCTTCTGTGCAATCACTAACAACGACCAAAATCGACGGATGAGAGCGCCTTTTTAAGATCTATCTGCACGTTTTGCGTAATGAATTATACATGTAGTAGCCACCTACTATACAATACTTTCA